TGGTTTTTTTTTTTTTTGTTATTTTGTTTTGCTTTGTTTTTTACGACTTTTTATTCTTTAAAAAATGCAAAAAAGAAAACAATACCAATTTGGATTTGAATAGGAAGGTACAACCATCATGGTTGTGTTGTTATTTGCCAGAAATACCTGAAGAGGCTTGTCAGCCCATAGTTCTTGACCTATAAACATGAGCATGAATTCTCATAGTTCAGAGCATCACTTATATTTAACTTCTTTGTCAACGTAAGTGATATAATAAAATAAATCAATGTGTTCTTTTTAGATTTCATTTAGACTTCATAACCTGAAATATATTTTGTCATTAAATTTTTAACCCAATATCATTTTTCTAATGTAGGTATTCTCCAGAGTGAATCTTTGCTCTAAAGCCATAAAGTTTAAATGCTAAAGTCATGTTTTAAAAAAATAAAGCCTGCTTACTTGAGTTAGTGTTTTCTAAATCAGAAAAGTATATAGAAGCAACAGCACTTACTTTCATAATTTAGACAAAAGTATGGGTATTATATTAGGAGGCATGGCTGCTGAATATTTTGGGACAGATTGTTTAATCTAGCAATTAACTAGAGGTTTTCATCAAAAAAGAAATTTATCTCTACAGAAGCTATACCAGCAAGAAACACAAGTGCAAATAGTATTTACAATTTTTTCTATAGCTTCTGATTTAACATATATGTGTATGTATACATACATATATGTATATATGTGTGTTTATGTTACATATACAAATAACATAAATGTATGCTATAGATTTTTGCATAGATTTATATAAAGTAAAATAATTTTGATCTAGTCAGGATTAGATGTTCTCTTATTCCACAAAATACTCTTTCATCTGGTTGGAAGGCAAAGAATAATATGTGAAAAACAACTCACCCCTACATAACTGACTATAGTAGTCCCTGATTCATAGTTTATTATTATTGAATAATGTCTTACAAACCTTCTGTAAGTGTTCTCTCATATTTTTCCAACAATCTTACATATCATGTTAGAGTTAAAATTTTAGGTTTTGATTGATCTATAAACGTTAATTCCTTTTGAAAACACTAACCAACTAAAGCTGTGCTCCTGAACATTTTTCAGTAAAACGTTTTGCAAACCATGGGTTCAAGTCCTTTGAAATGTTGTACAAAGCCACTCGCTGTGATGATGTGGATATGTTGAAAAAGTTTTCTGAAGCATTTGAGACTACACTGGGGAAAATGGTATGTCTCTGGCGGGCCTTTGCTGTGTTTTGTATTTTAATGGTCATCATAGCCTCTGGGCAGCCCTTGTACCTGAAATTTCCTCTCCTGATTATTTTCCTTTTTTATGATCCAAACTTGTGCCTGACATTTAGAATCATTCTTAGATTTCAGGGCTCTGGCTTACATTAAAAGTAACTCTGCACCAACACGTCAAGTTTTAGAAGCACTGTGAGCAAGGAAGTCCCAGAAGATTACAATTGAGAAGGCCTATTTTATTATTTAAAGTCTGACAAAAATTTCAAACACTGTAGACTGTAGTTTTTTACAATGAGAAGTTAATTAGATAGTTAGAGTATTTTCATTCTCATGTGTTTTGTTTGGGTTTTTTTCACCAATTATGAGAAAACATTGCAATATATTTAAATATCTTGCAGGCAGGTGTACCTGACAGAGCAGGGAGCCCTTCATTTTTTGTTAACAAACTTTAATAGTGCTACTCAACCTGTACCATGCATTGTTATAAATATATTAAAGTATTATTAGCTAACATCCATTCAAATAAACACTTGCTTTGAAAGTTATATTCAAATCTATTCTGTAAAACCAAATTCCCAAAAGAGAAACAATTAACAGTATCACTAGTAAACAAAACAATTACACTTAGTAGGCCACTATTATTATAAATCTGTATATTAAAAGGAAACCATACACTCATATTTATTATACTTTATCCCAATATAATGAAAAATTTATTAAATTTTTAAAAACAGAATCCATGTGAAAATCATGTGAAAGTGACTTTCGTGTATGTTAGTTTTTTATCTACCACAAATGAAGTTTATGACAGATTAAAAATGATCTAAATGGGCCAGAATGCAGTATAAAATTTTTACTAAATATTTTGTGTTAGACAGTAGGATTTTGGATGTGAATAAAACTGTCCAAATTATGTGTCCCGTAGAATTTCCATTCTAACAAGTATACAAACCAAAAAGAAATTATAAGGAAAGTATGTAATGCACCCGAGGACATAGTGCTACAGAATGACATAAAGGAGAAAATGGAAAGCCTCACTAACAAGTTTTCTGTTTGAGGAGAGGTCTGAAGGGATGAGGCAGTGGGTCACTGCCTTACATAGGAGAAAAGCATTCCAGGCAGAAGTCAGCAAGTGCAGAGGCCCTGGGGAGGATGATGGGAGCTTGAAAAATGATGAAGTGATCAAAGCAGTAAGAGTAGAAAGAGTAATGAGCAATAAGAGATGGTCAAAGAGGACGGAGAGAGTAGGAGTGAAAAAAGAAATGAGACTGGAAAGTCACTATATAAACTTTGCCTTTTAGTATAAGTGAGAAAGAAAGTCATTTAAGGCATCAACTTTCTTACCAACTTGGGCAACAGGAGAAGCAAAGGATGGGAGAGTGAAAGTGGACAAAGTAAGAGATGATGTGGCTTGGGTTGCCCTGATGTGATGAGAGGAGGATGGATTTGGACGGACCTTCTCAAGGTCCGTTTAGGAAGACTCACTGACACAATGGATGTAGACTGCAGACAGAGTAAGAGAGGAGGCAGGAAGGTGGGGTATGCACAAGCACAGTGGCCAGGTGTGGGTACTCATGGATAGATATGTGTGAAAGATGGGTCTTTTCTAGCTTCAGTCTTACCAAGGAGAAAAGTAGTCACCATGACTAAGGCTGTGCAATACACATTGGAAGTTTGAGAAGAGAGAAGACGGTATAAAGCAATTTTCTAAGAGTGTTAATGAAATACAGAAAAGATGTAAGTTTGACAGAAACTAGGGTTGTGTTTCTGTCAAGATACTGTTGACTACGTGAGGATGGGTGTGAGAAAGTGGTGGTTTCTGTAGCCAGGTTTAAAGATGCTCCTGGCAGATGCATTGAGAAGCAGGCATTCACTGAGGCAGGAGGTGTCCCATGTTGATGGTTCATGGACTCTGAGATCAGTAAAAAAAGAAAGCAAAGACACGCAGGCTGAGGAGAGTGGAGAAGCAGCAGGGTCGATGGATTCTATCTTCTTATGAAGTCAGTGACTTGTGCCGAGGGTGGTGCTGCTGCCAGGACATGTCCCAAAGGTCTGGCCTTGTGAGTAAGTGTCAGGGTAAGTTGGGAAGATGAGAGAGAAGAGGAAAAGGATCCGAGATGCCAAGGAGACAGAAGGATAAGTAAGGAATGAGATGGCGTCTCGGACTGGGAAAAGCTGCAAGAGGTAGGATGAGTGAATAGTTGGTAGTATGTGCTTCAGAACTACAAGGCTTTATGGAGTGAGGAATGGTATCTAGAGCTACTACTGGAGGATCAGGAGGCCAATCCCTCCACTTCTACAACTACCCAGAATTCCAGGGTACCAGCACTTCTTGTGCCAGAACATTCTTTAGAAAATATTCTAGAAAACTGGAAGGTTGGATTTCATTCAGAACACAATGAAAGGGAACAGAAAAGAAAGGAGGCAGGAAATAATAAGAGGTTTTCCTTTCACAAAGCAAGATTTAGTCTGAGTGGAAATGGGGGACAGGGTCCAAGAACAGGATTGAAGACCCATTTGAGGTAAAAGTCTCGAGACAGCACTGTCACTGGGGTCCTGGGCTGCTTGTGGTGAGCATGAGGAGCCCTGGGCTGTCACTCCACTCCTGTTAAGGCACAGAGCTCCTCCACAGCTCACAGTGATGTCATTCTCATTTTACCATCTCCCTTTTTTGTTTGCAGGTCCCAACATTTTGTAGTGATGATGATGACATTGATTGTAAGCTGGAGGACCTGACCAAAAAATATTGTCTGGAATATAATTATGACTACGAAAATGGCTTTGCAATTGGTAATTGCATCATCTAGTGTCAATAGTTTGCAAAATCGATCTGTACAATGAAACAGTTCTAGAAAAATGGGACAAACTAGAAAATTAACTTGTATTAACTTGTTCATCAAATATTTTAGGATGGCTGTATGATTTGATCATTACATAACTACTAAACTTTAGGATCAGATAAATTATTTCAAAGTGTTGGACAAAAGTCTTCAGGATGACAAAAATGGAATCACATTGGAATGTTAAAATTCAAATAGTGATATGATATCATAAAAGAAGATAATCATAATAGTTGTAAAGTACTAGCAGTATTTTATATCCATTTGAGTGACATTGTAATCAAACCATTAATTTAAAAGTTACATATAAATAATAGTTACTCCTCACCAAGAGAATGTTAAGATTCAATTAAGTCCAATTCTATTAAGTCAAATGCAAGTCCAATATAAGTGAAATTTTCAGGTGCCTTTTTTTAATTAAAATTCTCCCTATGTATGGAATTAGCAATTTTCTCCAGATAGCGTGTAGTATTTGTGCAGAAAATGTTTAATGGAAATAGCAAAAATAGTGATCCCTGTTCAATTGATCCCTGTTTTGGCTAATAGCCAAAAGCACCAATAAAACCCAAGAAACTTTGTAAATAACTTACTAAAGTGGAAAGACTGCATGGATATAATTTATTATTTAAAGCATCACAACAACATTAATATCACTCACTGAGGTTCTATGATGAGCCAAATACTTAGCCAGATGCTTTGTATGTACTGCATTGTCTCATCTATGCCTCAGACGAATTTATGAAGTAAGACGCATTATCTCTATCGCTATAAGCAAAGAAACTAAGGTTCAGAAATATGATTTGCTGAAAAGACCGGCCAGATAGCTCAGTGGACTAAAGCACCCACTTAGGCAGAGTACAGCAGCTGAGGTTCGATCCCCAGCGTGCTGTGCCAGCCCTGCCCCCGGGGCATGCTGAGATGGAGATTGAGACTGGGCATGGTGGCGCATGTCTGTAATTCCAGAACTTGGGAGGCTGAAAACAGGAGGATCACTATGAGTCTGGTGTACATAGTGAGACCCTGAATACCCTGTAGACCCTGTACCAAATATATAAAAAAAGGAAGATGATAAATCACACAACTATACATCATACGTCAACAAGTCAGTCTGAACTCTGGTAATTAATCCCAATGAAATTCTGCATATCTAGGGATTTCCACATACCCATGTCATCTCCAGTGACCTTCTGGAAGTATTTAATTTGCTTGCTATCTTCAGAAACTACTCTACCTTTAAAATATCATGAATAATCTTCATAACAGGAAAACTGTATGCATCAAGTTTATAAAACCAATATTTTTTTAAATTGAAGAAAGCCCTAAAGTGAAGTAGGAATTGAGATTCTGCCCCGCCCCCCTCTGTCTACAAATCTAGGAAAGTTAAGTAACTGTTTACTCAAAAGTAGAATGGCATAAACGCTTAGACACTTTCTTTTTGTGTAATTCACTGGCTACCTAAATAGGAAGTGTCCAAAAATTGCAAAAGAAGCTTGTGGACAAAATTCTGCATGTGGTTCATTACAGACAGTTTAGGAAATGGGCAAGTGCGATGCAACGTGCACCGTAGCAAGCAGAAGCTGAGCGCTGACGAGCTGCCACTGTGTGATCATTTGTTTCTGCACCCCAACTGTCAGGACCAGGTGGCTGGGGCGCCGCCAACAGGCTGGATTACTCCTATGATGACTTCTTGGACGCTGTGCAAGCGACACCCACGGGCATCAGCAAAGCCAGATCTTCACGGATTAAAAGAAGTGTCCCATTGTCCGACCACAAAATTAAATTAATTTTTAATATCACGGGTAAGGCTGAACTAGATTTTTGAAAATAAAAATCATGTTGTATGGAAACCTGAATCTCAAATCTCTCATTAGTTCTCATTAGCAGGAAGTGACCCTGGAACTGAGATTGCAGAAAGCATAGGCAAATAAATTTCATCACTGTTTTCCTATTTAATATAAGGGATGTATTTTAAGGTCCTCACAGCAATGAGAATCCTGCTTTGTTTTTATTTTAGCAAGATGAGATAAGTATGTTTTTAAAATGCAAAAATTTGTAGCTGTCTGTATGTTATAATGAAAAATCTCCTTTAAAAAGTAATGCACTCCAGCACCTAAAGAGATTAAAGCAAATTATACTGTTGTTCATATGGTCCATGTATTAATTGTTCACTGAGCAGTAGACAAATTTAGAGTTAGAGCTGGGGTGATAGCTCAGCAGTCTTAGCACCTGCCTGGCAAGAGCAAGGTCCCGAGTTTGATCCCTGGTATCACATGCTGTGCTGGCCCTGGTGCCACAGGTGTGCCATGGTGGTGGTGGTGCATGCCTGTAATCCCAGAGGTGGGGAGGCTGAGGGAGGAGGATCACTAAGACTCTGAACTGCATAGTGA